ATTAAAACCATAAAACTAATTAAAAACGTAAATAATTACAAAGAACTTAATATCAGAGAAGCAATAGAAATGTTTAAAAATAAAAACAATTTAATTAATTGGGATCTTGGCCCACTGAAAAATTCATTATTAAACTTGTGTAAACTGGCAAAATGTGATAATATTACTTAGTGATGACGTCACTAGGTGATAAGGTCACTAGGGGTATATAAGGGAGTTTTATCTAGTCGGGGTATCAGTATGTGTTTAGCGTTGATAATGGTAACATTGTTTCCGAAATACGTATCCGCGACTTTTCATTAATTTTTTGTGGCTTCGAGTTTAATATTTTTTAGTTTTTTAAGTTAATAATATTTTTAATATAGTTTTAATTTTACTTAATTAATTAGCCACAAGTGATCAATTTTTATTATATTATTGAATTAATGTATTTTTGGTTTTTATTTCTAGTATTTTGTAAATGAAAATAAGATTTTTGCAGAAATTTATTTGAATTTTGTAAGTATCATAAATCAAGTGTGCTCTATGAGAGAAAACATCCTCATAGAAAAAACTTAACATTTACTGGTACATATTGATTGCGATGGGAGAGAATGTTAATATTTCTATATGAAATTTTTGAAATCGCTGATTAATATAATAATATATATAAATAAAATACTTTAATATTGTTGTATTTATATTTAGTAAAGTAATCATTGATATTTTTATATTTTTTTTAGCATGACCAGATTACTAGAGAAATTAAAAAAAAAGAAAAATTATATTTTTATATCGTATGTTACTTTTATAATAAAATTTTAAAATTCAAGAACATAATTTTATGAAATCATTAATCACTTAATTAATCGAAAAATAACTAGAATATTGAAAAAATTACTCTTAATATCTTTTAATTTTATGTTTTTCTCAAATTACCAAACATGCTTTTGATACATTAATATTGATGACCATGAAAAACACTCCATGATTTTAAATTGAAAACACTATGTTACTAAAGAAATCAAGAATAAAATTATCAATACTATATTAATTTTTTTATTAATTAAATGGTGAATAATAAAATAAAGTTCTGTAGAACGTATTTATTTTATAATTAACATTATAATATACAGGGTGGCCCACCCTTTCACTGACAACTTAAATAACTTTTGATCTAGTTAATATTTTTAGTTGATTTTTTTTTTAAATAATAGTTATACGTTAGGTCTATAGCTATATCTCAATAATTAATTTTTTTACATTTTATTAAATATTAACTGGATAAAAAGTTATTTAAGTTGTCAGTGAGTGGTGGACCACCCTATATACTTGGATTTGAATCTCATTAACTACGAGTTTCATGTTGTTAATATGTTATTGCAATAATATAATTTATATTTATATAAATAAATAAATTTATAATATATAAATTAAATAATAAATTTATATATTCGAAGCTTAAAACTGGTATCAAAAATAAAAGTTTAGTTTTTTTAGAGATCAAGAGATTTATAAAACCATTATAAGATAACGGCTAAATAATAATTATTATTTTATTTAAGTAAATTATTTTCTTATAATTAGTTGAACTACCACAGTTATTAAAAAGAACTAAATCTAATAATTATTCAAGAGCATTTGGGCAGTTGCCATTTTTTATATGAAGGAGAATTATAATTCGAAGATTTATGATCCCTGCTGGAAATTTTTTCATTCCAAATATTTTTTTTGTTTTATTAATGCGTAAACCAATTAAAAAATTGTATAATATTTCTAAAATTTCTTAAAAAGACTGGCGGTGACTCCTCTTAACTAGGGATTACACTCATAATACATTTTTTAAGCACAACTTTATACTAATTCATATTAGCATAAACCCCATTAAAAGAACTTACCTTGCCACAGGTGTTGGGCAAAATGACGAATTTGACCATTCTTTCTAACTAATTAAAATTTTAAACATGATTAAAATCAATTAATGAGCTTTTTACCAAGTAATTTAAATATATCAAGAAATATTTTTTTCGCGGCATATGTCTCCTTTTGGAGTATTTCCTGGAACTAAAGAAAATTTACCAAACCGTATACAAGCTAAGCCGACAGTATAGTTACAACTATGAGCGTATAACTATTGTTTTGAAGAAGGACTTGTTGTCTGGTTAGGTTTCGTGGAAATATTTATTAACATTATAAGCTATACGAACATCCACTATAGCTTTAACACATCCTCATTTGATTTCATAATTTTACACATAATACATACCATAATCGAGATCTGATAATTTCTTAATAAACAATCTTATTATTTATAATTAGTAAGATTATATAATTGTAATGCTAAAAGGTTTGTATGATGAAAAGCGTGACAAAATTAATACATTTTTTTTACGAAAATAACCCGATTAACTATAATTCTATTATAATAATGATGTTAATCACAATCAGTTATGTTACGTTAACACTATGTCATATCCGTCATATTAAAAAGTCATTTGGATTAAATTACTTAATGTTAAAAAGATACTCGTGATTGTTTTCTAAACATTTTTTCGGACAAAAATTTTTTTAAGAAAAAATATTCAATTATACTTATTAACATCCCAAAAAATATAAATTCTTTATTATTTTTTATAATTATCGTAATTTATATTTTTAAGATATTCCAAAAAAATTCCATTATATTAAATTACAATGGAAATGATAACATTTTCGAGTACAACGGTAAGTATAGGACATGTTATAAATCCTTATGACATCTTTTTCAACATATTAATGTCCCATCATGACAAACAGAACTTCCATGTAATATACATAACAAAACTAAAAATTATTTTCATTTACTGTAGAAGAAATGAATAAAAAACTACAGACTTTTATGGAGGAAATAAACAACCGAATTCAATTCAAAATAATTAAAATTCAAGTGAGTTTATAAATATGTCTACGTGTGCCCTTAATTAATAATTTCAATCTTTCCCAATTAAAATTTAATTCAAAGTAAAGACAGGACTCATTACGTCCCAGGCAGAAATTTAAAAAACTAATGTTGTGAAATAATTTTTAAAAAATTATTAAAAAAAAAAAATGCTGGCGTAAATATGACTCATTAAAAATTATTATTTGATTAATGTAAAAATTTTCTTTCTTTATTCCTTTATTTTTTTTTGTATTGGTGGCTAAAATCAAATTTGTACATTTTTTGTTTAATTTTTTTATTATTATTTCAAAAAGTTCTTTATGCACAATGGCATTCGAACGTATAATAATGGTAAAAATTACTATAAATGAAATTCATTATGTGCGCGTTCTATTTTTATTAAATATATATATTCGTTTGCTGTGTAATATTTTTGTTACATGCATATAGCAAAATTTATTAAATGACATCAATTAATAATTTTTTTTTATTGTCATAATATAAAAATTTTGTTAAATTTTAACAATATGCTTTAAAATAAAGACATCCCTACGAATTTTCTGTTTGTACAATTTCACGCGAGGGCAGTAAGACAGTGATAAATATTTTTATATGATTTTAATCTATAGTTAAGTTCACTATGTGGTGTCCCAAAAGTACTGGCCGTTATGATTTATTATACAAGTGAAATTGGGCGTTCATCGTTTCCGCCAAAATTGACCGTATCGTTTCCGCCAAATCTGAATAAGGTCGTTTTTTCGTTTCCGCCAAATTGATCTTCTACCTGTCTATCTAATAAAAAATTTGAGAACCATTTAGCTTTATCCATGGTAGGCAGCTTCCCGTACCAAAATTTTCGCCATTTATTAGTTATAGAATTCAATGTTACGTTCAGGTCTGTATTTATGATTTTTGCGTGGGGTATTAATATTAATGTGTAAACTAAAGTAATTTTTTACAATATTTTTTTCCCGTCGCCATCAATTGACATTTTCCCTCCTTAACCACTCTCTAAATACAGTCACATTGTTTTGGATAATTACTTATTTTATCACATAAGTACACTTTTATAAACAAAATATGGCGTTTTACCAAAGGTAAATAAATTATAATAGATAACTGTCTTAAGAATGTATATATATTTTTGTAAAAAATAATAAAAATATAGTTTATAAGAAAATATAGTCATCAAAACATTGAAATAAAATTCAAATATTAATTATGTGCTTAAAAAATATCCAATATGTGTAATAATATAATAAAAAATAAATCTATGAACTATACATTTTTCGGTAGTTGTTGGAAACTAATTTCATAAATTCAAGTCTGCTATTTTATTAAACTTATCAATTGCCTCTTTTATTTTATTGAAACGGATTTCAATTTTATTCCGTACGCTTATTGAGATTACGTTATTAGAACTATATATTTTAATGTAATTTTAAGATTGAACGTTTTCTATTAAAATTTTTAAAAATATATTAATTAAAATTAT